ATTGTGAGAGATCGAATCACCTTCCCGTCTATTGCGCATGCTCGCTTCGCTAATTTCCACATGGGTACTGGATTCTCTCTCCGACATCGCGCTCCCTGTTTTAAATTTTTTTCAATGGAATATTTTTTAAGAGTTTTTAATTTAAAAAAAAACTCTTTTTAATTATTGCTGCATTTATAACCACCACATTTATTTCGTTTTCGATATTGATACGGAAATCTGAAAACAAAAACAATAAAAAATTAAAATCTTAAAATAATAATAATAATAATAATTATTTTACATATTTTCTTTGTTAATTAATTAATTACATATATAAATATAAGAAAAAAATGATTTTAATAGATTACGTCGTTTATTTATCATTGTACCTTGCCCCCCCCCCATCGATTGATACAACAACAGCATTGAGTATAAAATAATAATAATAATAAACACGTCACGATTTATTATTATTATTATTATTATTTAAACGAAACATATATTGGTAACATCACCAACAATTTTTTAAATAATAATTAAAGTAAATTTTAAATACTGGTAGCTTAATTATTATTATTTAAAAAAGAAAAAATTTTTACAATTATTATAATAAGTGTGTGTGTGTGTGTATGTGTAAATGATGAAATAACAGTGAGTCATATATTATTAAAATTTCATCATTTTCAATATGGCGGCCGAATGTGTCCTTGCTAACAAATGAAATGTTATTTGTCAATGCCGAAATGCATGAACGTTGTTGCTGCCGTTTTTTTTTTTTTTTTTTTTTTGCAAATTCTTTTTTATTTGTATTATGACAGCGTGATTTTTCGTCCTTGACGGTATTAAAAACAACAAGAAGAAATAAATGATATTTTGCTTGTTAAGTTAAAAAAAAAAAAAATGATTTCTTATTAATAATAATAATAATAATAATGAATAAAATTTTGCGGATTTTTTTTTAATGCTTTTTTCCCCCATTAATATTTATTAAATTTTTTTTGTTTTACATGTAAACCGTTGTTTACGACTATTGCGTGTTAAAGATAGTATTATAGTTATTAAATTTTTACATTGCTTAAGAGGTTATATAAAAATTAGAAAAAAATAAATAAATCAAATATAGTAAAAAAAAAAAAAAAGTAATGAGTGGCCCACCTTCATCATAAGATGGCTTCCCTTGAACACCGCCAACGTGTTCAACCGCGTGGGAGTTTCATGTTATATCGTCATCGCCATTTTTTTTTTTTTTTTGCAAAAGTTTTTTCTGACTCATAATCAACGTTGCCATCGATTGTCGATTGTTACGACTAAGTGTGACACCATAATGATTTTTATAAAACGTTTGAACAAATTTCTCTCTCCCTCATTGTGTTTTTTTTTTATGTAAAAATAACTTGATCATTAAATGTGTGATTAACCGCCATTTGATAAATGGCCAAACTTGATCACTGGCAAATGATATTATAACAAAAATCCTTTGTCAATCCGAATAATATTCGTAACGGAAATGAAAATATTTTAATTTACTACATTCATTTATCAATTAATTAATTAAATACATAAATAAATAAATAATTTTTTACATAGATTTGAAGAAAATAATAATAATAATTTGCGGTTATATATTTACGTTTAGTTTCGAAAATTAAGTTTTTTATTTTTAATTTTTCTCCCCTTGATAAATGTGTTAATATGTTTAAGAAACCATAAAATTCAAATGCCACAGTTAATTTTAAAAAATAATATTGCAAAATTCTTTCATTTTTTTTTTTTCATTTTTTTTCTCCACTCTAGGCTATAATAACTTGGGTTACTTTTTATTTATTAGATATCTTTTGGCGGTTTTTCGTACTAAAAAAACCGTTAAAAATAATAACGCCATCTATTGTTTTTTTAAAAATATTAATTATAATTTTTAACAATAGATGTCGTTAAAACAGCGCATACGTTATCGAATTTGTAATAAACCGCAAGAATTATTATTATTACGATTTTTCTTTATAACTTTTGCCCCTGATTATTATTATTATTTTTTTTAAAAAATGAATATTAAAGACTTTTTTTTTTTTTTAATGAACAATTCGATCGAAACGTGTATAAACCCTCTTATAAAATAACTAATAAAGTAACTATTAAAAAAATTAATTAATTATAAACGACGAGTTTTTTTTTTTTTAAAATAAAATTCAAATGACCTGTAAAAAAAAAAAGTATTCATTTAAAATTGCATTACATGATACTAAAAAAACAAGATAAAATTGTTATTTAAAAAAAAAAAAAAAAAAAAGTTACAAAGTTAAACTTTGACTGCAATAAAAAAAAAAAAAAATGTACGCATACATACTTATATACATAAAGAGTTAAATAGATTAAATATTGATACGAACTGAATAACCAGCACCTTTCATATCAAGATAAAAAATAAAAAATAAAAAAAATAAAAAAACTACGCGTTCCGAATGATAAACGTATACGATTCACATCATTTTATATTTCGTTTCGAATAAACATTCGCAAACCGTTGTTGAGTTTATCATGTTGGAATTTTACATGCATCGAAAACGTATAAATATGCGAATTTTATTAGCGGCCATTTTTTTTTTTTTTAACTAACAAACAAACAAACAAACAAATAAAAATTATAAAAAAATAATCACCGATAATTACAAACAAATCTCTCTCTCTCTCTCTCTTTCTCTCTCTTAGCTATTATTATTATCATCATCTTAATTTAAAAAATAAAAAACAAAAACGATGGTTATATGGTATCAATATTAAATACCTTAAGGTTAAACATTTTTACTCATAAAAAATAATAATAATAATAATAATAATAAAGTAACGACACGTTGATGATGATGATGATGATGATGATGATGATGATGATGATGATGATAATATAACCAAGTGTAAATTTTATTTAAGTGTCACAATTTAAAATTAATTTAAAAAAAAAAAAGGGTGGCATTGATTTGTTATAAAATTTTCAATCATTACAACCATATAAGAAAATTAAATAATAATAATAATAATGATGATGATGATGATGATAATGATAAACATTCATTTCAAATGATTTTTTTTTTTTTTTTGCATCTCAAAAGTACAAAAAAAAAGGAAATTTTGACAAAATTTTAAAGAGAGCATGTGCAGTTTTTAACAAAATGGATTTATCTAGAATTGTATTATTATAAATTCTGTTATATATATATATATAATTTTTCTATCGTTTTATTTTATTTATTAAATATATAAATATAAATGATTGTAAAGTAAATAAGTGATTTTTTTTTTATATATAAAATAAATGATACAAAAATTTAAACGGTTAAATGATTATTTATACTTGACATCAATGTATTTTTTACATTGTCTAATAATATATTTGACATTGATAAACGTCTGCTTTTCGATATCAGATCATCATCATCATCATCATCATCATAATCGTTCGGGTATGTGATTGTACAACGAACGTTACAATTATTATTATTATTATTATTTAAATATTTTTATATTATTTTTTTAACCTCGAGGTTATCTTTATACAAAATAATAAGCAAAACACATAAATGAATCCATAAACGTGTCGTTCATTATTAATAAAATTATAGTAACGAAAACACAAACATATTATTATTATTATTATTATTATTATCGTGGTAAATAATTAATTAATTATTCGTATAACATGTTTTTTAATTAATAAAATAAAAACTTGTTAACGTTAGCCTTATATTATTAAAAATTACAAATAAGAAACGAAAAAAAAAATTTGTATGCATGCATACATGTTTTGCACCTTTCTCTTAATATTATTATTATCATTATTATTATTATTATTATTATTATTATTAATTCTGATAATTTTTTTATTAAAATTAAATAAATAAAATGTTTTTTTTTTTCATTTTTAATGTTCAACAAGTGTGACTAATAAGTTAAAATAAATATTTTAAGTGTGTTAAAAAAAAAAAAAAAAAATTTTTTTTGTACGTTTGGTCATTGTCATAGAGTATATAAACTTGCAAAAGAAATAAATTTCATTTAAAAATTTTCGACGTGAGGATAATATTATTTAATTTGAAATTTTTTTTTACATCGTAATAAATATCATCATTTCGTCGAAAATTAAAAAAAAAAAAAAATTTAATTGTAATTACGGTTATTAAAAAAAAATTTATTACTTACTGTCGCCGTAAATTTCTTCTTCTTTTTTCCAATTATTATTATTATTATCGATACGTTTTTCTTTTCCAATTAAATCAATTTGAAAATGTATAAAATAATAATAATAATAATAATAAACATTTATGATTTTCTTACGTTAGTTTGTGGTTTTTTTAAAAAAATTATATATCGAATTTAAAATTCAACCGTTAAAATAAAAACACACACAAAAAAAAAACTTTTTTGAAATCGTTAAACAATTTTTATTAGTTACAACAATTGAATTTTTTTTCCTTCGGCTTATCTGATTTTCATTGCCAACTTAAAAAAAATCAAAAAAAAAAAAAAAAATGGCGTTTTTTTGAAAAATTCGTTACTGTCGTAATTAAGTGTATACATATAATTTTTTCTTTTTAACGAGTTATTAATTCGAATTGTTTAATTCTAACGTATTTTTTAATAACTTTTAAACAATTAAAAATGTTTTTTATAGTTTAATTATTAATATTTTACTATAAATAAGTTAAAAATTATAAATAAAGTTAAGCAATCTATAAAGTGTGTGTGTTTAGTAATTTCATGTAAGAAACGTTTTTGATGCACGATTAAGTCCTTAATTGTTATTATTATTATTATTTTTAGATTGTCAAAGCATTATTTAAGTTAAATGTAAAATATTTAAAGTCAAAGAAGTAAAAAAAAAAAAAAAAAAAAGTTTAACGTTTTTCTCTTTTGTATTTTTGATTACACCGTCGTCATTAATAACAATGTTAAAAATGAAATAAAATTTGATATCTCGTTTATTTTTTTTTTAATGCAAGTCAGCAAATGATAAAAAAAAAAAAAAAATGCATACGGTTTGTAAAAAAAATGTCAGTTTTAATTTCTTTTTTTTTTTTTTGTTAATTCTTTAACCTTTTGTAGGAAATCGAAAACGTGATTGTCCTCATCCTGTTTTAAGACAAAATGGAAGTGAAACTGGAATTGATGTCGTAGGTTTTCTTAGCGGTATTGCTGAAGTTAAATTTAATGGAGCCTTTGATAAAATAGGTTCGAAAAGACATTGTAAAATAAAATGTATCAACGGCGAATGGATCGGTCCCCTTTGTCTCCGTGAAAGTGGTAATTATTATTATTATTATTTACATACCATTACGTAATATTCATTTTTTTTTTATTCTCCTAACTTATTGTGATTATTTTAAGCCTCATCTGAAAATTCTGAAGAAAAACAATTTCATCCAGTTTTAAAAAGTTGTAGCACACAAGTATTTCATTCAAAATTTATAATAAGTCATCGTAATAAAACAATTTGGGTAAGCAAAAAAAAAAAAAAAAAAAATTCTTAATTTTTTATATACTGTTAAAAAAGAAAACATTTTTAAACGTTAATAAAATATTTATTAAAATTCTAAAAGCCTGTTTTTAATATTAAAGGGTATGTAGAAGGAGCAGGTGTTCCTAGAAAAGTTGATGAACAATAAATTACACGATTTATACCTGAATTAAATAATCCCTGGAAGGAAAAAGAAAAAAAAAAAAAAGAATTCAAAAATGCAAAACCCGGCATTAATTTCAAAGAAATTTTTTAACGACTTTAAATCATGTGGCAATGCAAAAAAAAAAAAAAAAAAAAAATTTATTATTGTGGGAGTTGAGTTTCTAGACTTGTAATATTCTCCTCCTATTTAATAAACACATCCGCTTAAAAAAATTAATCTTTAAAATGTAAAATTACTTCAAAGAATTTAAAGAAAAAAAAAAAAAAAACGTAAATCTTAACTGCTAATTGTATTGATACCTTAATAAAAGGGTTATTGTGGACTTGAATTAAAAAAAAACAAGTTTGTTGCCCTCTTCCTCCTCCCATTATTATTATTATTAATAATATTTGATGTTTTTAATAGGAAATAAAAAATTTTCCACATAATACTGTGGTTCAAGTTCGTTGTAAACAATTTGGAATTTATAAACTTATCGGAGATGCACATTTGACGTGTTATAATGGAGTTTGGAAATATAGAATTCCCACGTGCATTCCAACAACGTCATTAACAAATTTCACAGATGAATCTGCTCCACCTTCAGTTTTGGCTAAAGTCACATCGGGTTCGGCATCTATAGAACCTACCGGAGAGTTAGCTGTGTATCCAGGTAGTACGGTTCATTTGGAATGTCTTTACCTTCGGTCATCGGGAGAGCCTGAATGGTCGTGGACATCAACCTACAGAACGTATGCAACGGGTAATACTTGAGAGATGTTAAACACGTGATGTTAAATAAGTAGAGGATTAACGGTTGTTGTTTTTTTTATAGGATGGTCGATTGATTCAGAAGAAAGAAAATGGAAGTATCGTTTATCTATTTATTACATAAAACCTCAGGATACGGGGATTTATACCTGTTCCACACCCAAAGGATTGACACACAGCATAATTCTTAATGTTATTGAGGTGCACTGTGATGTAGGAAAAATTTTAACCAACGACCCAAATCTCCTAACGCAAATTGAAGGGTCTCGACTTGGACAGACAACTTCATACAAATGTCGAGAAGGATTTAAATTAAATGGTCCTTCAAAAATAACATGTCAAGCAAGCGGTGAGTTCACTATTGTATATTTTTAAAGGTTTTACCTACATGAAATGATTAAATGAAAATTTTTTTTTAGGTGTATGGTCAGGTTATTCCCCTGAATGCGTACCAATCGCTTGCCCAGTTTTAGAAGTTAAAAACAATAGCGTGAAATTAATAAAACAAGACTTTGGATATGGTGGCACAGCTACTTTTCAATGTCCTCAGGGTCATAAATTAATTGGAGTTGGTACTTTGGTATGCCTCATCACCGAAGAATGGTCAGGGAAAATTCCTACTTGTAAAGGTGTGTCTTTCGAAAGTTTGAAACTTTCATTTGAAAAGTATATTCACAAATAAAAAAAAAATAATAATAATTTTTCGACCTTAGAAATTTTTTGTCCTCCGCCTTTAATACCGCAAAATGGACAATTAAAATTAGAAAATAATTCATCAGTCGTACCGCCATTTCGTTCAGGTTCCAAAGTTGTTTTCTCTTGTAAAGACACCCACAGATTAATCGGTAGAGAAAGTATTAAATGTCAAGAATCTGGTATGTGGTCTAATCCTCCGCCATTTTGTAAGTACATACATTTATCATGATTTTAAATTTTAAATAAATAAAACAAAGAGAATTAATCTAACACCATCACTTTAACAGGTAAAGCACATTGCGTTCAACCTGAAAATCCGCCCGAAGGAGTATTTAGTCCCCGTAAGAATCTACACGAAGTCGGAGATAGAATATCACTTATTTGCAATAAAGGTTTCGAACCTAGTTCGAAAGGAATGCCAAAATGTTTGAAAAATGGTTCGTGGTCGGAAAAGAATTTAGAATGCAAGGCAAAGAAAACGTTTAGATTGATCGATGAAAAAAAATCCGACATGATTATTTATGTTCAAAAAACAACGAGTACAGTTATCCAAACGACTCGAGGTTTTGACATGGCCGCGATGACAACAACAACAACAACAGAAAGTAATAGTTTCGACAAACCTACAAACGGGGATACGACACCTCAGGATATACCTTCGACTACGCCATCCTTCCCACCGGATGATAATAATAATAATTATCAAGAATACAATATAACATACGATTTCGAAAATGAAAACGATACTGATTTTTTTTACGTGGTAGAAGAACAACCAAACTGAAAAAAAAAAAAAAATAATAATAATAATGATAATTGTTTTTTTTTCCATTTAAATTTTCAATTTTGCAAATGTTTAAATTAATTAATATTATTAAAAATAATTAAATAAATTTATAAAAATTGAAAATTTAAAAGGAAAAAATTATTTATATATATATATAAAAAGGTACAATAAATATTTAAATAAATTTCAAGTGTTTGTTTGTATGTATGTATAAAAACAACAAAAACTATGAAAAAAAAAAACGTTGTGTTGAAACCTGTTTTATAACCTACCAAAAGTGCCTGAATATTACGGTACAAGCAGTAGCATGCTTTAAACAACGTTTCATTCATAATTTTTTTTTTATGTTTTCCCTATTCTATTACATTATAAATTTTTTAATTTTATCTACATATATATATTACATAGATAATTTAGAGAATCGTTATTTGCAAAAGGTCAAAAGGTTAAGTTAAATAACTACAATAAAATTATCAAAAAAATTAACTGAATTTTTTTAAATTGTGTTTACGAAACACACAAATGTTATTACATAAAAACAAAATGGCGGAAATTATATTTAATATATTTATATTCGTTAAAATAAATTTTATCGCGATTAATAATAATAATAATAATAATACAATATATATTTATTAATTGACGGTAAATATTATAAAAATTAACAACAATTTTTTTTTTTTTTGTTAATTTTAAAATATTTACTCATTAATTATATAAACGATGATTTTTCTTTTTTTTGATTGAAATGTGAACGGTTAAAAAACCGTTAAAAATCAATTTAAAAAAAACATTTCGACGCCATTTTGTTTTTCTCTCCCTCCCTCCATCCATCTAACGAATCATTATAATTTTTTTTAAAAACGATATCGTTTTATTTCCAAAAAAAATAAATTAAATAAATTTCTTTCATTATTAATTTTATGTACATTATTATTTGTATTTTAATACAAACAAACAAACAAACAAACAAACAAACACGTCGTTAAAAATTATTTTATTAATATATATATATAAGAGTTTTTTAGAATAAAAATACAAACAGAAAAAATAAAAAAAAATAAAATAATAAAATAAACAATTCAAATTGAATTTTTTTCTCAATTGGTAAAAATTATCATCGATAAATTTCACATAGTAAATAAATTAATCGATCGATGAATCGAAATATAGATCTATCGATCAATCGATCGATACATATATATATATAGCAATTAAATAATTAATTTTTTTTTGTTTTTTTCTTTACATTTCACGTAAATCATCACAGTAAATTATTAAATAGCAATCATCGTAATAATAATAATAATAATAATAATAATAATAATAATAATAAAGTAACGACACGTTGATGATGATGATAATAATTATATATTTGTATACATGCATGAGATGTGTAGGAGTGTGTGTGTGTGTGACACGACGTTGACCTTAAAGGTTAACCTTTTGTTTTGTTTTTTAATAATAATGCGATTATATTATCATTATCATTATCATTATCATTATTATTATTATTATTATTATTATTGTTTTGGCAAAAAGCTCAAGCAATTTTTGTTTTTTTTGTTTTTTTTCTTGTTTTTTGCTTAAACATTTTGGCATTTTTATAATGAAACAAACATAATTAATTAATTAATGATAAAATAAATGAAATGGAATGAATTTGGATTTTTTTATTTTAAACATTATCCCCTTATTTTCTTAATTACGTGCCGAGAATAGTTGCCTAAAATTTAAAAAAATAAATAAGTAAATAAAAAAAAAAATGAATTTTTTTTTTTTTTTTTTAATGGGGGTCGTGATGTGAGAATCGTGAGTGAAAAAAAAAAAAAAAAAAGGCGAGAAAGCGAAAATATCGGTCGGAGCAGGAAAAAAGAGAAAAAAAACAAAGGGTACTATCGAAACACCGGAAATAACGAGTTTGCGCGAGATATCGAAATAATCGAACAAACATCCGATATATCGATCGATATATCGTTTTTCTTTTTTCCCCTGCTCCGACCGTATTTACAAAAGCACCACGAATAACAAAGAAACATCTGGCAAGGTTCTCCTCGTAATTTAAAATTCGAAAACCGGAAATTCCCGGCGAGCGAAAGGGAGCGGAAATGAGCGGGAGGCGGGGCGGGGGCAAGGGGGCAGTCTTAAAAATTAAATTAAAAGAGAGAAAAGCGTTAATGCGTTAATGCAGTTAATGAGAGAATAAAAAAGAAAGAAAGAAAGAAAGAAAGAAATTATTGCGGTTTCGGACGTTGTTCCGGTCTTCCTTTCGTTTAAAATCATGTGAGAATTGGAACTTGCCAAATTATAAGATGACTGAAATCGCCTTTTCTATCACGTTGATAATCGTAATTGGAAGAACCGTCTTTGGCATTTCTTTCTTTTATGTGATTCGATTCTTCGTCGGACGTGTCACCTGTTAATTTTTCATCATTGTCACGTGATCGAGAATCAATATATTACAAAAGAAAGACAACAAAACAAAACGCTTACCGATTCGGAAATCAATGTAACCCTCTCCTCCGGACATGACAAGCATATTCGTATTCGACACACCTTGTTTTGTTTCTTTATGAAAAACACAAACAAAAAACCGTTAAGTAAATAATAATAATAATAATAATAATGAAAATCTAATAGTGATACAAACCAGGCACTGCTATGAAAAATTTAACAGATTCCCGATGACCGTGAAACGATAACTGAGCTTGAGCCATGGAACAGAAAGGGATAAAGCTACCTGGTAAAACCTTATCGGAAGTTGAATCCGTGTACACCCGTACAACCGCACTCGGACCTTTTATCGCTGATCCAGGATTTACAACCCCGGAGGCACCTGAAAATGGTAACAAATCCCCGACTTTACACGCACGTTTTTTTACAAAAAAAAATCCTGCACCGCGAGATTAATTAAAAGTCACAATTACTTTCAGACAAAGGAACTGAAATAATGACGCCATTTCCGGTACCTATCCATAATCGACTCGTGGATATTAAAAGTGCCGTGATTCGTACGAATGAAAAACCTAATTTTCCCGTACCTGAAACGTCACAAAAATTCGTTTTTTTTTTTTTACTATTTTTTTTCTCCTATTTTACTTTTGCCGCGGTGAAAAATTTTTTTTTTTTTTTTTTTGAAAACAACGCGACTCACCCAACATTTTACTAACGTAAGGCTCGATATCGACATCTTGTAAATGTTGGTACGTGTAAGCGTGAAACAATCGTAATGTCGAATCTAATCTTATGGAAACCCAAACACCATCACCCAACCATGCCAACTGTCGAACTTGACTTTCTTTCCTAGGATGAGCTTCAAAAGAATTCTAAATTATAAAAAAAAAAAAAAAATTTTTTTTGAAAATTAAATAAATAAAATTTAAACTTTTTCAAATCAATAATTTGTGGGGATTTACCCCCGACCCCCTCAAAACTTACTTTTATAACTAATGATACCGGATCCAAAACGTGGACTTTGTTTTTATAACCGCACCAAACCGTGTTGTGAACAACTGTCATACACCTTACGGAATTTTGGGGACCTCCCAAGTGTACGGTATGGTAACTGTTTAAGTTCCACTGAGCATCGGGACCTCTGCGAAAAACGGCTACCAAACCATTGGCTAAAGCTACTAAAACTCGACCGTTTGAATGCCTGAAATTTGAAAAATAAGAAACAAAATGTAAAAACTCCATTGCAATTTTCCACAAAAAACAAAAAAGGAATGGATTCCCTTACGCAATGCAAGAAACAGAATCGGGCATTTTGACCGAATGAATACTTTTACTCCATTGTCCAATCGCCGAATGGATATACAAGTTACCACCGTAGGCACCAATCCATATGGTGGGCATAACGCTGCTCATTTTTTCAAAAACGTTATTTCCATCTACGACAAAAAAAAAAAAAAAAAAAAAATAAATCACCGCCATTTTTCGCGAGCGTATTACAATCGTACCTTGATATCCGTACCTTCTTCGTTTTGTGACTCCTCTGGTTTCGTTAAACTTTCACACTCGATGCATTTTATTTTACCCAAATTACTATTTTCGTCTCCGTTATCCGCATCGGTCGAATTATTCGAATCGACGGATGTCGTTTCTACAACTACGTTATTATTACTTTCGTTTTCGTCGCCGTAGTCTGCTTCTGTAGCACCGGGAACGCTCGCGATGCAAAGTATTGGAGAGGAACAAACGGTGAAAGATTCGAGAACGTTCGATGGATTGGTGGCATCGATAACGGTGACTTTACTCTCGTTCGTAGAATTCGTACAAATCCAAACTAATGAAGAAAGACGTTGCTCGAGAGTTTCTCCATCTTCTTTTATCTTTTTACCTTCCTGAAAATATACAGGTATGTATATAAATAAATTCACCGCGAATCAAAAGAACAAAATAATAATAATAATAACATAGAATCAACAAACTTTTAATTCTTCCTCAAGTTCTGTTATGTGTGGCTCGCTATCTTCTCCAGGTACGGTTTGGGTTTCTCCTTCTGGAGATGAGGATTTTGAATAAAAAACGCTAGCACCCACAATTGAACCACCATCTTTAGTTTTACCACCGGTTAAGTTGACACCAACCGCACACCAAACCTATAATGATAAATAATATTTTATTACAAAAAAGACAACAACCAACAACAAGCAAAGAAGAAAACATACTTTCATTGATGGATCACTGACTGCAAGGGGTTGACAATAAATAGGCACTGGAACGGGAATATGAGATTTGCTTCCAGCTTCAGGTATAGCATTTGGATTCATTTTTCCAGGTAAACTCCAACCGTATGCTTGAAGTCGATCGCCATCTTTTCGAACGTGTGCTCTTACTTGTCTGTATTGTTCTTTTCTTTCCATGGCTCGCCTTTGGGCAATTTTTTCACTACAACTAATAATTTTCATTGATTTTACTAAAAAAACAAAAAAAATTTAATTTTTTTCTTTTTTTTTTTTTTTTTTTTTCTTCTTCTATATTTAAACAAAAAAAAATTTCACGAAATTTTTTTTCCTTTCCCTCTTCGTCAACGGTACTTACCAATAATCAAAACTTTTTAATATTATTATTAAGTTAATATATAAATAAATAAATAGACTTAATTTTTTTTAAATAAATAAATAATTTTAAAATTAGGATACAATCGATTATGACAAAATACTAATAATAATAATAATAATAATTGGCAAGATTTATTCAGAACAGGAGGGATTTTTATTTGAAACAGACCTTCCTTTCTGGGACTTATTGCCAAAAAATGAAAACCCAAAATTTCCCACGGCAGGTTCACTTCGACTTCCCTTTAGTGATCTACAAAAAAAAAAATTAAATTTCTGGAGTTTTTAAATGTAAAAAAAAAAAAAAAAAAAAAATTTCCAAAACAAACACGATTAATATAGATAGGATAGATAATAATAATAATAATAATAATAATAATAATAATAATAATAATAATAATAAATAAATAAATAAATAAATAAATAAATAAATAAATAAAAAATAAAATTTTGTGTTGAATTTGTATATGTTGATCCAACATGTCGGACAATATGAAAATTTTTCCCCAATATAATCGCCATGATAACCTGAGGACCTGTTTGAAGTTCAAACGATTTTTCTCGTTATGTTTTAACATAAACAAACAAAAACATAAAATCCCACTGGAACAAGAAATTCATAACATAAAATTATGTTTACATAAATTATTATTATTATTATCCTTTTACTGTGCTGTGATATTTACTATCGTCAATAATTTTACGAATAAGAGTGCTTGCCAATTATTAATTAAAAAAAAAAAGGGTGCCATATTTTATGTAAAAAAAATTATTTATACAATATTTACATATACTCAAATAATAATAATAATAATAATAATAATAATAATTGAAAAAAAAATTAATTGAATAAATTTTTTATAAAATTTCAACCCGTTGACAACAATTTTTTTTTTAATAAATATTTATTTTAAATGTGTAAGAAAAACATTTAAAATTCTATATACAACAAACAAACAAACAAACAAACAAGTCCTTCCAAAATCCTTTTTTTTCTTTTTTTTTTTTTTTAATAAATGAAAAAAAGAAAGGGCGAAAAAGAAGTAGAAGAAAAAGTAGAAGAAGATCATTTTTACCCAATAGAATTATTATAAAATTACTTTTTTTTTTTTAATTAATTAATTAATTAATTAAATACAAATAATTGAAAAACAAAAAAATTAAAATAAATAAATAAATCAATAAATAAATAATAGAATTAAATTTAAAAAAAAAAAGTTTCCTTTTATGTACACGAATTATCACGAATCGCAGCCATATTTTCAAGTATTTTTTTCCTTTTGTAAAAAAATTTTTTTTTTTTACTGTGCAAAAAAAAAAAAAAAAAACCGAATTTCATTCTTGAGCAATGCTTATATATATATATATAAATTATTATTATTATCATCGACTACAACAACAACAACAACAACGACAACAACAGTACGTTTCGTTTGTTTTTATCATCGTTTTAAATTATTAAATATTTTATGCCATTTTATTACATTTAAGGCAACAAACATTTATAAATAAATAACAATACACGTTGTGGATAAACAATTTCAACAATTTTTTTTTTTAATAATTATATATATATATATATAAATGGACGCAATAATAATAATAATAATAATTATTTTATTACAAATTTTTGGAAAAAAATACCGTTATCGATGGCGTGGAAAACTTTTTTATTATAAACTCGAAGGCATTTTATCAGAAATTGTCACGCGTATATATACATATACGAGAGAACAATTTCTGACAAATTTCGCGTTTTTATTGTAAAAAAAGTGAAAAATTTAATTTAGTTATTGTGCTCTTGGCAGGTTGACTTACAAATTTCCTCCGTCTCCCCCGTAATCCGTAACCCGTCTTTTGTCATCCGTTTCCCGTAAAGAGGGCAACGTCGCCACGTGATGATTGGGACTCGCATAATAAATATTAACGCTGTGCCCTTTCCTGGATGATGATGATATGTCTCTCTCACCGCTCAAACCGAATAAATCGCTAAAACTGTATGACGTTCACGTTAGTATTATTATTATTATTATTATTATTATTATTTGGATGATCGAGGTGGTACGACCTAACCGTCCATTTGTTATATACGTACTACTTCCACAATGGCAATCGAACTTTTTGTTTGTTCATCGTGATATCGCTCCTCGAGGCTCTCAACGTTTCCGTGTACCGAACGGCATCTTGCAATTCCATGAATCGTTCCTTGTATTGATTTCTCTCCATGAGAACCCTCGCCATTTCGACTCTTGTAAATCTCTTTCTTTGAGCCATCGGAATATCTTCATCCTTGAAGATCAAAAAGATTCGGTTACCCTAAATTACTCCTCCGACCCGTAAAAATTATTCATTTTTAATTTTTTTTTTTTTTTTTTTACCTCATCGTCGGATTTATTCGTCTTCGATTTGTTTGTCGCTTCTTCTTTAACCTTTTTCAATTCGTCTTGAAGATCTTGAATTTTCTGTTTCGACCTGTTGTGCACGGCTTGCAGAGACCTGATTTCTTCGCGTAGTATTTCTTGTTCGCTCACTAATTCGTCCACTCGTGCTATTAAATCATCCTTGACGATATTTAAAGCATTCCTAAAAAAAAGAAAAAATGGAAAAATGGAAAATTTTTTTAATTAATCCGTTAATTTTCAATTTGAAATAAAATTTGATTCGATGATTTAACAACTTACTTTGTTGCGAGCAATTCGCTATTTTCCCTAATTAAATTTTCTATTTCTTTTCCCATACCTGAAAATTTAAAAAAAAAAAAAAAAAAATGTTTAATTCCACTCCGAACTCTCAAAAATAAATAAATAAATAAATAAATAAAATAAATTAGTAATTAGTTTAAAAATTAATTATTAATAAATAAATTATTATGTAATATTAATTTGAAAAAAAAAAAAAAAAAAAAAAAAAAAACACTCACCAAAAAAGTTATCGTTTGCTGCAACCGAATAAAAAAAAAAAATTATTATTATTATTATTATTAGCAAAATTAGTGTTTTTAATTAAAAAAAAAAACAAATTGGACACCACGTGACACAATTTCTAACTCATTTGTGTTTGTTTGTATACAAACAAAATAAAGTTAAAAATTTCAATATCAATTCCTTCAACCAATTTGATTTAACCTTCGTTAAAAATGCGACAAATAATTTTTAATTCCAAAGCTTTCTCCCTCCCCTCCCCTCCCCTTCTTATAATTCAGACAAAAATTAAAAAAAAAAAAAAAAATGACATGTACCGGAAGAAGCATATTCGCCAGGATGAACTAGACTACCGGTGACGTCACCGCTATCATCAGCTTCGACAGAAGCATCGTTATCTTGAAAACTAAGTTCTTGATAAAGCAAATTACCACTCCTTTGCTCCCTGAAAAACAAAAAACAAAAACAAAATAATTATTATCACATTAATTAATAATAATAATTACATGAGAAAGGATTACATAAATAAATATTACATTTTCGTTGTACTTCTGCTTAATGATGACGTCATAACAGTCGATGGACCATCTTCGGGCAAATCTTTTTCCGGTGAATTTGACTTGCTATTTATCGAAGGTTTACTTAAATCCCCGCCGCCGCCGCTGCTATCGGCATTTAAATCTTGATTTTCCTAAAATTTATTTAAAATTTATAAATTATTAATATAAAAAATTTAATGTTGCAAAAAAATTTCTTTTTCAAATTCGTTAAACTTACATTTAATTCATTTCTAAGACTAGCATTTGAATTGGTACTATCAGGAGGTGAACCCGGCATTAATTCTTCTAAACTGTTGTAATCTTTGAGTTCTTCTAGCGATTGAAAACCAAATGAAACAGGACCCGATGACCTGTAATCCGTTTTAAATAAATAAAATTACAAACAAAAAAAAAAAAATTTCTTTATGCTTTTTATTTAAAAATACCTATTCATGGAATTATTTCCGAATGAAGTAAGTCTGATCGGCCTGTTTGCAATGGGTTCCATTCTATCATTTGTGCTAAGTAATAATTTTGTTCTATCCACATAGTCTGCATGAGTTTTGAATAATTCCGTGTAACGCTCATGAAGCTTAGCATATTCTTTCTTCAATTCATTTTCTTTTTCTTCCAATCTAAACACTGAAAAAAAAAATTTTGTCATATTTTACTTTAGATGTAATTTTAATTAGTAGCTTGACTTCCCTCTTTAGTTAAATGATGTTAAAATATAAAAATTACTGTATCGTTATAAAACGAGAAAAAGTCTTATTTAAAATTATAATTTTTCTTACCATGGTCTGAAGAATTTTTAGCCTTTAGTTCCAACATTCTAACAATTGATTCTAAACTTTCAATTTTACATCCCAAATCTTTCCTCTCATCTTCCACAGCATCTTCAACTTCCAATAATTTCTAAACAAATGAAAAATGACAAAAAACATGAATTGTACTTTTTTTTTTGTTATAATTTAAAAGTGAAAGTACTGTATAAACTTAACAAATATGTCGAGAAAATACTTTTAATTTACAGCAAAATTTTTACAGTATCAAACTCAAAACATTATTGTAGGCAAAATATATTAATTATTTTTTTTTACTTGAATTAATTTATTGCACTGTATAATTATTATTAAAATATTACCTGTTCTGTACTTTTTCGCAGTTGTTTTTCCCTTTCATATTGTGTAACCAATTGTTCATTATCTTCTCTAAGAAGCTCTAATTCTACGTCGTGTTCTTGATTTTCTGTGTATGACATATCCAAACACTCAAGAACATTGACTACTAAGGGCATTAAATCCTTAACGACATCATGATCATATTTAGATATCATTTTTTCAAATTCATGATATATACTTCCAGCAAGAGATTGCACTTTTTCCGACATCACAATATGTGATTCATCGTTTGCACGATACACCACTTCTTGATCTGATTCCATATTGAACTAAATATTAATTTCTTTTGTTGCACTAGACTAGGAAAGTAAAATCTACAAATGTCATGACGTAACTTCAAATTAAATTAAATTATTTAAAATGATACTTTATGTAATTAAAAAAAAAATACTTGTAATGTGATTTTTTTTTTATACAGTACTGATACTGTACGTAAAAACTTTTTTAATTCCATTGGACGAACCATAAATTAACTGATGAAAACACTACAGACGCCATTTTCTTTCTGCTTCGATGGGTGATGTGTTTGCCGTTGTTAAGTCTTGATAAAATTTTTCTAATGGCACGACTGTTTATTAAATTTTCCCTCCAAATTTAAATTACTAGCTAATGTTTAAAACATAAAAAGCAGAATACATTTTGTTCTGTATGTATTATTTTTTCCCTGAAAAACTTTATAATTTAAATAATTTTTTTAAGTAGTACACATTAAATAATACATATTTATATATAATATTTTCAAATCAAATCTTTAGAACAAATCTCCTAGAATTAAGACTTTTTGATTGATTTAAAACAAAATAAAAACATAAATTCAATTTTTTTCAATCATGAAGTTTGGGCAGCGAATGGCAACTAAACTTTTTTATTAGAAAACAGTAAAAAAAAAACCGTTTATTTTCTAAACTTCGCTAATAATTCCTCATTTTTTTTACATTCAATTCGTAATTGTTTAACTACATTTACATAATTTCGCTGTAATTCTACTAAATCTAATAATTGCTGACTTAATTTGTCGCGATGACTTCTTTCCTCGGCTCTACGTTTTTCAACTTTCAATTTATTTTGTTTAATTGCAGCTACAATGGATTCGAATTGTTGCATAAAATCTTCTTTGTCTATTGAATTTGACATTGCACTAAAATAAAAACACATACACATAATTATTTTACATTTTTGTAATACTTACTTAAAAATCTTTATAGAAAAAATAATTCGACTATTATTTAAACACTTACTCTGAATAATTATCGAGAACTGAATTCAATAATGATAATTCTTTACTCAAATACAATTTGGTGTCATCGAGAGTGTTGTACATTGTATAAAACTGTTTTGTTTCTTGATGTTTTTGAGCCACTTCATTATATAATTCTAAAAATCTCCTTTGATATTGAGCTAATTCTCCTCTACCAGGAACTTCATCTAATTGTCTTTGTAAAAATGCAATAGATCTATTTTTTTTGGCTAATTGTAATTTTAATGCTAAAACTTTTTCCCTTTCATCTTCACATTTTTTATCAGCAAGACTATTTTCTTCCATTCGATTATGACTATTTGCTTCTCTGAAATTAAATTTTGAATAAATTTATTATGAGTTATTAAAAATAATTTAAATTCAAAACATATAGTATTGTACATTCTTACTTGATCATATTTTGTAAATCTTCAAGCTCTTTCCTACAGTAATCCTTAAAAGTCTGTTCTTGCTTTTTAAGACTGTCTTCCAAAACGATTAAACTTTCGAGTTTACTATACATTCTATAAAAAATTCAAGGTACATTATTACATTAAATTCAAAGTATAAAATACAAATGTGTGTTTTAGAATTGTTAAAATTTTATACCTGGATTGTTTTTCATCTAGATTTTGTAGCACAGAGTCAAATTTGTTTAAATCCTGTTTTACTTTTTCAGATTCAGCCATACTATTTTCGATTTCCTTTTCCAATAATTTCTTTTCTTCCAATAAACTATTTTTCCTTTTAATCATCATGTCTTTGTGTTTTTCTTCAATTGACACTTCAGAACTTTCAATATCTCCTTGAAGTTTTGAATATTTTTCTGAAACTTGAGCTATTTTTTGAATCTGGGATGTTACTATATTACCAACAATTTTAGTCGGAAATGCCTGAAAAAAAATTATTCGGAAAATCATTATAACATTTTTTATTCTGTTAATTAAAAAAAGATTATTATTTATAATATGAAAAAATTTAAAAATGAATACTTACATCATTAAATTCTTGAGTTTTTGAAAAAACACTCATTTGTGATTGTGAGTCATCATTAAAAGGATTATGAGGAAAACCATATTCCAAAAGAGTGTTTTCAACTTCAATTTCCTCATTTTCAGATGTTTTATTCAATTTCTTAAAAAGTCTTTTTCTTCTGTAAGAATCCTGAAAATAAATACAAATTATATTATGTTAATTTAAATAAAAATTTTATAACATTACATAAATTATGAGTAGAATAGAAAAATACCTCTAATTTTAATAAATTAGAAGTAACCATGGGTGAGATAATTTTTTTTGAACATATTTGATTTTCATATTTTAAAATGGCATGATATCTAATAAAATCCTTTCTCTCTTCTCTAACTTTTACAGATCTTTTAATTAGCCATTGAATAACTGGAAAAATATGTACAAAATCTAATCCTTGTATTTGATGAGGTTCAATTCTAAAAGGGCACTCCATTTTCGGAAGCACAGTCACAATTTTCTCTGTTAAAGCTCTAAAATAATATTAACAACTTTAAGTAGCATATCATTTGAAAATTATTTTTTTTTCTGACAGAATAATAAATAAAATAATTTATGAGGTTTGATTACATTTTTTGTCCGATTGTTGAATTTTCTTGAAACAATAAGTCGACATTTACATCAAAATTACAGCTATCCATACTCCAAATCATGCCTCCGACTACTTTATCAAAAGCCGATAATCCTTTTATTCTGGCTCTGAAATATCCCGCAGCTAATAATAAATCAATTATTTCATTATATTTAACATTTTGTTCTTCATCTTCTCTAATGTCATACTAAAAATAAAAAAAAAATAAAGATTAAATATGTAATATTTTACATTTTAAAATTCATATCGTAAAATAAAGTTTTTTGTGTTTTTTTTTTTAATTTTCTGATTATGTCGTTTGAATAAAATATTAAAAAGATGTTACAGTGATTTCTATTAAGTAGTAATTAAAATACAAGTTGTAATTTTAACATTACATTACTGAATACTAATAAATCAAGAAATTATTAATGTACAAAAATAATTCTATTAAGTTTTTAAAAAATACTGTTTATCAATAATTTCATGTGTTATTAAAGCAGCTCACTTCATTTATATTGTTTATATCCTTATTATTCATAATATATAAATTTTTTTTTACTTAAGAAACTTTCAAAAATATATATTTTTAATTTGATAGTGGTTGACGAACAAGTTTTAAACTTTGCCGTCTTCTAATCCCTTCACTAAAAAATTTCCATTTTGCGACAAAATCGTAGGGAGTTTTTTTTTTTTTTTTTGAAGTTGCCGCCTTTAAAAAAAACCGTTAAATCTTTACCTGTTTTATCAAGCATTTTATGTTCTTCTTAAATTCAGTTACATGTTGTATATATTAGTCATTATTGAAAGAAATTAATAGCATTTTTGTTTAATTTTAAATTAGTTTTAAGTTTAACATTTTAATATATCATTACTATTTAAAAAAAAAAAATTAAAAAAAAAGTACGACTTGTTTGTTTTAATTCTTTTGACGTTGGAAATTTAAAATGGTAAGCTAACATTTTTTTATGCAAGTTTTAAATTGTTGTTTTGCATCTATTGAAACCTGAAACAAAAAAAAAAAATGAAAAATGAATTACTATTATAAATTTTTCCGTTTTGATATATCGTCAATGTGTTAAAATACATTTTAGGAATCTAAAAAAACAGATAATAAATTTAAGTATGAGGCATGCGCCAGGAATTATCATCCTGCATCACTAGGATATGTTGGATCTCATGGGATGAAAATTTCTTCATATGCGACACCTGAAGCAAGAAAAAAATTATTGTAATTATCTATTTTTAATTTAACAGTTAGTTTTTAAAATGATTCCTTCTTATTCCAGCTATGTAAAGTACATTGAGCATTCTATTTTCTAATTTGTTAGGCAATAAATAATAAATAATGTAAATTTTACAGGGCAGACTTGGAAAAATATCGACAAGCCAAAAGAGAAAAACTAGCTGAAGTTGGGGCAAAAATGAAATCTAACACCAGTAAAAACTCTAAACATTCTCATAACAAAGAAAATAAAAATATAAGTAACAAGCCAAATGTTCAAGTTCAAAACTTGGGAAAAGATTCTGTTTTTAATAGGTAAATTTTGTTTTAAAATTATTTACCTAATATTATTTTTGAAAAATTTTGATTAAAATTTTTTTTGTTAATCATGAACTTATTGTTTTTTTAATAGATTATACAAAAATGACAAAAAAACAGAGAAACTTGCTTTTAAAACTTCTACGATTAATAATTCTATTGTAAATTCTGCTGAGAATAAGGCCTTTAAAAAAAATTCGATTGAACAAGTTTCAAAAGTTAACGATTTAGAAAATTTGAATGAGGAATCTTTGGATAATAAAAAAGCAGTACCAGATTATGAAAATGTTGAAAATATGAGCACTGTTGTTTCCAATCAAGAAGAACAATACAGTTTATTTGATAAAAAAGAATGTGTTTCAAAAACGGAAGAAGATATTGTATCGAATGAAGATACAGATATAAATTTAGAACATGAAGATAGAGAAAGTGAAATTAAAGAAAAGGAATATTTTAATTTAAATTTTCCTCAAGAAAAACATAACAGTGTTTCGAAAGAATCAATCGATTCACTTAAACCTAAAGTAAATAATGCTGCTGATTTAATTTCGACATTAAAAAATGATTTTATTGATTCAAATGAATTGAAAGAAAATTTTGATGTTGTTGAAGAAAAAGAGAATAATTTCAATAATTATGCTACTTCAGTTGAAAACAATTCTAATGAATTTGTTGAAATGGAAGAAAATAATTTCACCACCATTGAAAGCAATGAAAACGATATAACAAATTTTGGTAAAATAGTACAAGAACACAGTGATGGCGATATGATCGAATCAAAAGAAAATGATAATTGTAATGAAATTGAAAAAAAAGAACAAAATTATACCGATGTTGTTGAAACAAAAAATTGTGAAGAAGTTGAAATAGAAGAAAATGATTTCAAAAATTCTGTTCAAAGCGATGAAAACAATTTAACAAATTTAGAAGAAATGAAAGAACAAAATTTTGTGGATCAAATCGAATCAAAAGAAATTACTACTACCTGTGATGCAGTTGAAATAAAAGAACAGAATCATACCGATCTTGTTGAAACAAAAAGTTGTGAAGAAGTTGAAATAGAAGAAAACGATTTCAAAGATTCTGTTCAAATCAATGAAAACAATTCAGTTAAAATGGAAAATGATGATTTGGATGATTTAAAACAATCAGAAATGGCTGATACAGTCGAAACTGATCTTGAAAAAGGTGAATTTGTAAATAATATGCATTTCGAATCGAATAAAGGGGATGAAGAGTCATTAAACGATAAAAATAATGTTCTCGAAACCGTCGTAGAACAAAATGAAGAATCGAAAGAAATTTGCAATAGGAATTTGATGAAAAAACCAAATTCACCCAAACTGGTGGTAACAAAGAAATCCCTCAATACTCACGTGCAAACTCCTCATCCTAAAACGCAAAAAGGTAATTCATCCATTGTTAAGAAACCACCACCACCACCGAAGGGACCCGCCAGACAATCAATTTCAACATTACACAGAAAGAAAAAAATGGGAATGTATCGTGCAAGTTCTGAAAAAAATTTAAGCGAATTAAACGCGGCTTTAAAAAAGAGCAATTCTTCTGGACCGGAGTCTCGAACATTTGAAGATTCATTAGATCCTAAAAATAAAATGAAAACAAATCCGTTATCACTTTCTTCATCGGATATCAGTAAAAAAACTCCTTCGAAATTAAGGTAAAATGTCGCACGCATTGATTATTTAACACAACAAAAGAATTTCTTTTTAAACTTTTTTTTTTTTTTTTTTTTTTTAGCTTCGAGTTAGAAGAATGGTTAAAAATAAATGGCCACCCTTTGGATGGATACCGTCACTTACGCTGTTTCGGAATTCATAACAAAGAATCGAAATCTTTGGATCCTTTGAAAAAACCCAAAAAGGTTTTATCCTTTCAATCTGAAGAAGAGGGCAAAAATGAAGAATCGGAAACGAAAGTGAATGATGATGAACATCACTCCTCTTCGGTTTCTACAGAATTATCAGATATTGAAAATCGTTTGAAAGAACTTCATCGTTTAATCGTTGATATAAAATATCCGAAAAATAGATGCGAAGAATGGTTGATTGCTCTCAGAAAGAAACATTCGACGTGTACGGAATGGCCGATTTATTGGGAATGTTTAGCAGCACTCACCGGAAGTAGTTTTGAAAATTCCGAAAGCACCAAAGTAATTTTTTATTTGTTAATTTGTAAGGAAGACATTAAAATATGTCGGGAAGATTTGTATTTCAAACATGTTAAAATTAAAATGATGATTTTTTTTGTTTTTTGTAGAATTTGCCATCGGGAGATACGTTAGCCGAATTATTCGACAAAATGGTAATCGAACAACAGCGAAAATCATCGGAAACGAAAGTTGAAAAGGGTCTCGATTTAAAAAATATTTTCAATTCGACAACGATTAAATTTGCACTCCAGTCAAAAAATAATAAACCGTACGTCGAGTTGTAAATTACCTCTAATCTACCTAAAACGATGGGAGCCACCAATCGAATATTGTTTTCCCCTCCCCCTCCCCCTCCCCCCCGATGAATTGAAATTATTTATTTATTTATTTTGTTTTTCCACAGGAAAACTCCGATCAAAAATAACGACGTAACACAGAATAAATTTGTAGCAACTCCCGTTAGAAGATCATCGAGAATTCACACGCCATTTAAATCCAACGTGATTAATTCATTGGAAAATCTCACGCCAGAAGTTCGTAAAAATTTAACATTCAAAGCAAACGAAAATCTATAAAAAAAAAAAAAAAAAAAAAAAGAATTAATTGATTAATTATTATTATCATTATTATTATTATTATTATTATTATTATTATTATTATTATTATTAATTACCAGTTTTAATATATTTTCGGGGTGATTATTATTAGTTGATTGAACCGTTCATATTTGACATATATTTAAAATTATTTTTCTTATGTTAATGTTTTTTTTTTTTTTTAATTATGTACAATTGGGATTTTAAATATATATATATATATTCTGACAAATTTTATTTTATTTATTAAAACACGAATCCCGGAAAATAATTATAATTAATAATAATAATAATAATAATGAATCATATCGACAATTAAATAAATATTGCATATAAAGTTTTTTTTTTTTTTGTTCTTTTTGTGGGGGATTTTTATCCATTTAAAAAGTATTTAAAGTCAATAATATAATAATAATAATAATAATAATAATAATAAAACACGTTACACGTAAAGAAAAATAACAATGATGATGATGATGACGATAAATGATGACCATCACGATAAATTAAATAACTATTATATTGTTAATATAATTAATTTCTTTTTTTTTTTCTTTTAATTACGACAAATATTTTAGAAAACAAATATATATATATATATTTAATTATCAATTAAAACTTATTTTTTTTTTTTTTATTAAATTATTTATATATTTATTTATTTTATTATTATTTTTAGGAGAAAAAAAAAGAAATTAATTTATTTACAAAAATAATCGAAACGTTTTTTTTTTTTGTCATACATTGATTATATGAAAATTTAATCATCATCAATTAAATATAAGCAAAAAAAAAAAAAAAAGAACAAAAAGAAAATAATAATAATAATAATAATAATTCGTACAATTAACATTTTTATATATAAAAAAAAATAATAATAATAATAATTTTACAGTAAAAATTTTACATTTTTTATTATTATTATATATATATATATACGGTTGGAATAATAATTACAATTAATTTCGAATATTACATTCATCATTTGATTTAAAATAAATTTATAATATACACCATTCTTTCTATAATTAAAAAAAAAAAAAAATGATTATAATAATAATAATAATAATAATAATAATAATAATAATAATAATAATAATAATAATAAAAAAGGTAAATTGGGATCGACATAATAATAATTCCAATATTTTTATATTATTGGTATTATTTATCCTAGTTTATAATTTTTTTTTTTTTTTTTTTTTTTTTCCCACCAAACAAACATTTTTTTTTTTTTTTATTTATTTTTATTTATTTTATTTATTTATTTTATTTATTTATTTATTTTAATTAATTATTTAGTATTTCATACATCTTCTCGAATCGAATTTAACTTGGTAAACGATTATTATTATTATTATTATTATTATATTGTTATAATTTAGTAATTAAGTATTGATATTATTATTATTATTATGTTGTTGTTGTTGTTGTTGTTGTTGTTTGTTATTAATTATCATATTTATTCACTTTAAGCATCTGTCGAAAAAAATTGATCCGACATAACCTCCTCTCATTGCTTTCTGTACATTTGCCTCGAAAAGTCGTCGATTGTTTTGAAGTACTTCTGCTGCTTCTTTATTTAATGGATCTTCTGGATTTGGTTCCTTATTGACAACAAAAGAGAGAGAGAGAGAGAGTGAGTAAATTAAATTGAAAAGATCATTATTCATCAAGTAATTTTTTCATTAAAAAAAAAATAATTAAATTATTTTTCACATACCAAAAATAAATACTGAAGGCCATATACGATTGAATTAATTGTTAAAACAGGTTTCCAATCTTCTCTTAATATATTTAAACAAACATTTCCATCTAAATCAATGTTTGGATGGTAAACTGTTGTTTCACATTTGACCTTAGGTGGCTCATGAGGATAATTCATGCCGACTTTAAAGCTAAAACTAAATTTTCCTCCTCTGTAAAATCCTTCATCCGGGCAAATGATCAATTTAAATGAGAGTAGATCATCCGGATCTGGAAATTCTGTACTACATGTCTTGGGTAGATTAAGTTCATTTATATCTAAAAAAAAAAAAAAATTCAAATATTAACATAAATAAAAAAAAAAAATTATAAATACATTCGTAAAAAAAAAAAGAAATTGTTAGTCATATTGTCACTCTTATAATAAGACTAAATTCCTGTTGGACCAATTATTTCTTTTGAATGTAAATATAACCTAATACTTTATTGACAAAGAAAAAAAGAATCTATGTCAATAAAATTGAATTGAATTTTTTAAATTTTTTTCCTAAAAGAAAAAGATTAACATTTGTTTGTAATGATTTTGTTGTTAACATAATATTATGAAATAAAAAATAAATTTTTTTCGATATAAAAATCAAATAACGTTCGATTTACATTAAATATTTAATTTTGTTGTTTTATCATTTAATTATAATAAAGTTTAAATAGATTTCAACACAATTTTTTTGTCACCTTTTCACAAGAAAAAAAAAAAATAATAATAATAATACTAAAAATAAAAATAAACAAAAAAAAAAAATCAGAGGACACGTTTTAAAAAAAAAGGGGAGAAGGGGGGAGGGTCGAAATTAAATAATTAATTTGACGAAAAAATAAATTAAATTAAATTAAAATTAAATTTAAAATTTTTACACTGCTAGCTCACCTTTAGTGATTCTCAGCTGAGCAGCTGATGCTTTTTTTTGAGTACCCGTTTTGGGAATAGCCTCTCCATCTTTTTTTTGCTGTTTCAACGAAAACAATTTTATCATTGCGAAAATTCTCTAATTTTTATTTTTTTTTTTTAAATGCTAATTCATTAGAAAATAAATAAACGAGAGTGAGAAAAATACAATCGCCTAACGAAAAAAACAATATTTATTTTTGACTCCTGTAGATGACAGCGCTAAAAAAGAATACGAAACTGGCATGGAGACACCTGATTCACAAAGGAATCGATTCAATGGTAATTAAAAAAAAAAACTGACATTTTCTGAACGATTTTTTTTTACAAATGTCGTCTTTTTCAAAATTTTTAATTTGTTATTTTTAAAAAAACTGACTACGTTTAAGTAATATTATTATTCATTTAATCGGTATAACTAATCAATGTACCTATCAGGTATAAATCGAACCATTAAAACGATTGTAAAACTTTTAAAATTGGATTTTAATGGCGGAATACACTGACCAAAAAAAAAAAAAAAATGGCCGTTAAATTTAAACTCATAAAAATTCTTAATTCTATTTTGTGGGGAAAAAAAAAACAAATTTCGTATTTTAAACGTATTTTTATAAAGGGAAATACTCGATAAATTGATTGATCTCTAAAATCAAATAATAATAAATTATCCAAATTCTTAATTAAATAAAAATATTTCTTTCATTTTTTATTTAATATCATTTTTCAGTTTTGTTTAAATTTGCACAAAGCAATTTTCTGTTGTTTTTTTAAACCGTGAGTTAAATTAAAAAAAAACGTTAAATTTTAATATACAATTTTTTGTTTGTTTGTTTTAATGACATATTATTGAAAAATAAAAAAATAAGCAAAAAATAAAATATAAATATTTATCATAATAACTCTTCTTTATTATTGTATGAGCCATTGAGTTTTTTAAAATTACCCCGTTTTCGATTTATAACGAAATTAATTAATTTTCATAATAATAATAATAATAATAATAAAAACAGTAAAAATATTAATAAATATTAAAATATCAATTTAAATAATAATAATAAAAACAATGTACAAAACAAAAACGATTCGTACTTGTTGTTGTTGTTATCATCATCTACTGCAAAAAGTATAAAAAAATAATTTTTTTTCTTTCTCTCTCCTTCTTTCTCCCTCTTTCTATCTCTATCTCTTTTTAATTAATTAACAAAAGTATTAAATTATCAACAGTTAAAAAAAAAAAAAAAAAAACCTAAACGAAACCTAAAGTGAAAAAAAAAATAAAAGAAAAAAATTTAATAATTAATTTAATTTATTAATTAATAAATTTGTCAATTTGTTCCTAATTTTCATTCATCAAATAAAAATCAAATAAAAACCTAAGAAAATTATTATCATTATTTATATTTCCCACCTTGATAATAATTAATATGAAAAAAAATTGCGTGTCGATTTAAATTTAAAAAAAAAAAATAATAATAATAATAATAATTTTAATTATTATATATATATATATAAATTCGTCCACATTTTTCCATTTTCCAAACACTTTTTTTTTTTATTATTATTATTATTCGATTTCATCGATTCAACAACGACCCTCCTATCTAACCTTTAATTATTATTATTATTATTATTATTATTATACGCAAGCGTATTTACAATTAATTTACAATTAATAATATACCATCAGGCAATAATTTTCTTCATTTTTTTTTTTTTTTTTTCAAATAAATCGATTTTTTTTTTTTTATTTGTTTCCGTTCGAAATGTTTAAATATATATAAATATATATATATATATTATTTGCACATAAAATTTACATGATTGAAATTTCATTCATTTTCAACCTACGTAAAAATTTAACAAATTTTATTTATTTATTTATTTATTACTTATTTTTTAAATTTTTTTTTGTAAACGCTTTCTCTGATTTTTTATTTATATATTTTTTTTTTTAATGTTTGTTTTTATTTTCCTTCTTTTTTCTCTCTCTCTCTCTCTCTCTCCTTTCTTTTTTTCTTTCTCTCTCTCTCTCTCTCCTAAAATTTATTCGCTACATCGAGGAATTTCATTGTTTTAAGGGAGTTCCACCAAAATTAAATGATGTAGGCACGGTGTGCGTTTGGAATGCATAACCTAAAAATTTTCGTTAAATGTTTATGATACCATTCCAGGTTTATTTAGAAAATCACAAGGGGAAAAAAAAAGGAATTTCATCAGTGACGTCATCACCCTACCTCCGCTTTGCTCAATTTTTTTACTCTCCGCTGCTGCTTTCCTTTGATCGGCTAAAACAAGTATTTCTTGCAATGCATTCTGTTGTTCTTTAGATAAATTTGCCGTTAATACTTGATACCAAGCTGGATCGTTAATTTGAAGATCTGTAAACGAACGAACGAACGAATCAATTAAAATCTCGATTCGAATCGACATTGTGGTGTAGAGTTAACATGAACATAAACACACTTTGAAAAACTTCCTTAAAAACTACGTATTCGTCTATTTCGCAATTATCTTCGTCTAATGGCGTCGTATAACTTTCTAATTCAGTTTCTTCGTTAAGATCATCGTCTTCGTTATCACTCCCCACATCTAATCTCGATGAATTAACTAACGATGCTAAACCTTTACTGTGAAACGAATCTATACTCGCACCGTAATCATCTATATCGTCTTCGTCACTAGATAATACTTCTAAAAACAAAAACAAAATGTGGTCTCACTCAGGTACTTGCAGCATTTACATCTTCTTGGGTTTAAACCTTAACTAAATCACCTTGATCAACTTCCTCTTCTTCTTCTTCCTCTTCATCATTTTCTTTTGCCTTAGCTGTTTAAATAAGAGTGAAAATTATTATTTTTTCTAAACAAACACATTCACATCTTTTGTAAATAAAAATAATAATAATAATGATACCTATGTAAGCTCTTTTTAAACCATCGAACAATATAATTAAAGAAGGTATTATTCCATTGGCCAATTCGTTTAATATCGGCGGACGATTTGGCGACATTGATATTAATTGACATAAACCCAACACGCAAAGTTTACGATCGTGAAGACCTAAAAAGCAATCCGTATCAATGATCCATTGTTTAATAAACCTAGTCGTCATAGATTCCCCGGCATTGTCTCCCGGCTGTTGAATTTTTTCCAATGTTTCAAATAAAAGCTGATAATTATAGTACAGAGCAGCTATCACTACTTGTAAACACATGGTACGGAGTTCGGATGTTTTTAATTCTCTCATTAGTCTTTGTAGCACAAGTTCAACGAAAGGTGGAATACACTAAAAATAATTAAAAAAAAAACGGATTAAAATCTTCATTTTAATAAGATAAATAAATTGAAATTGAAATTGAAATTGTGAGCCTCTTTCTTACATGATCGATGCGTCCTTTACATTGTAAAATAATAACTTCTAATAATTTGGCTGCGTGACATTCCGAATCTTCTTCAGCGTCACCGGTTAACACGGCTTTACACATATCAAACACAGCTAGTACGTGATTTTCATTTGATAAAAATGCATTCGTATCGACGGTTACGTAGTTATGTAAGGAGGGCATCATGTCGGTAAAATAATCAAAACCATCCTTTTGAAATACCTGAAAAAAAAAAAACAAAAAATTAATACAAAACATTTAAAAATCAAAATTTTTTTAAAAGTTTGCCTATGCCTACCTTATACATTAATTCTAAAACTTGCCACATTTCAGATGAAATATTTTTACTAGTTAAATCATAAACTAAAGACATGGCTTCCTCGTAAAATTCCGTTACGCTTTGTTGAAATATATCACCGACGACTTGGAGCACGATGGGTTGAAGTTTTGACATTATGTCAGCGTTGTCTTCCATCACGGTTAACAGCGTTTCGATTGTGTTCAACAATCCCATGGCTGCAATAGCTTTTTCGTCGGACCCTTCATCCGATTCCAAAACGTTTCCAAACGTCGTGGCCAAATGTTGGCATATTTCAACGGCGATCGGAATCAATTGTTCGGTGTAAGTGCAAACGAGTTTTTGCATGACATTCGTCAAATCGTCATTCTCGGTTTCTCTGATCAGAGTCAACAATTCGAGCGTTATGGGTTTTATTTGAGATTCGACAAATTTTTGAATTTTATCCTGGGAATTCAACAGCATTTGAAGTGCTATGGCCGCCTCGACTTTAACGGGGATATCTTGATCGGTTAAAAGAGCATTTATGGTGAGACGAGAGGCTTCGGCTAAAACAGCATCTTCCTTAAACTTGATTTCGCTGAAGTAATGCAAAACCCAACAAGCCTAGAAAAAAATTTAAAGCATTTTTCCCGTTATTTTATTATTTGTAATTCGAGTCAATTTATAAATAGTTACCGGGGGGTAACAATGTACTTACCCTAGCCCGCATATGACCATGTGGACTTGAAAACTGAGGTAGAACATGCCGACACAACATATTTTCCATTTCATCTTCAAATATTTTCTTCCTATTCAAAACGTCAGCAAGGGTACCAATCTGAAAAAAAAAAAAAAAAAAAAATTATGAAAAAAACATTAATTTTTAAATAAATATATTTGGCATCGTTGTAAAGTTTCGAAATTAAATTTTCCAATTTCTCTCACCATGTGTAAGGCACCATCTAGTTGCTTTGGATCCGCGTTAGGGGAGGTTAAAACTTGCATTAAAAACATGACAGTTTTTTCCAACATCTCTTTTCTCTTTTTACACGCCGAGTTCAACAATGTCTGGGCAGCAGTTACGGGTGACACAAAATCCTCAAAAATATCTGAAACATTTAAAAATAAATTTTAAAAATAATTTTCAGATAATGTTAAAAAAAATTAAAATTTTTTATTATTAATCTTATTTACCAAATTTTACTCTGACATATTCATATGGATTGGAATCCCAAAGTTCAGCATCTGCATCAGTATAGGACATAAGTGGAAATAAAACATCTTGTATAATAGTAAACATGTGAGGTTTGAGGAATTTCCAAGAAAACGCGTGGCTTACCCTATATTAAAAAAAAAAAAATAAAATAAAACAAAATAAACCATTAAAAACCAATAATAAAAAAGAAAGAGAGAGAGAGAGAGAGAGAGAGAAAAAAAAGATAACATACCCTTGATTTATATAATTGAGTGTTAAATGTAATACACGAGGTGAAACATAAATTTTTCTTCTATATTGATCCAAAACTTTTAACAATACTTCTATAAATCCACCAGTAAACGTCTTCAAATACCACTCTGAAAAATCTTTATATTCATTTAAAACGTTTCCCGGACTACCATACCTAAATAAAATATCAATTA